ACTTTTAGTTATGGATTACTTTGTGTTTGTCTATAACAAATCTTGATTTTAAGGTTAATGTGGCAAAACTGTGAAAAAGATGGTATGGCTTTGTATTGAGAACGCGATATTATACTACATATTTGATGCTTTTTGTTGTGTTCTTAGAAAATGATCACATCAGCAAACTCAAACAGAACACAGCAGTACTTACTAGCTACTTCCAGGGATGCATTGTGACTGATTGCCTGACCCAGATAGTTTCGGGCCACGCAGACATAGCTGCCATCATCTGGCTTGCTTCGTCGTCCGTGGATGATGCGTAGAAAAAAGAGGGACCCGCTGGGCAGCAGCATACGATGGGAGCGTGGGTTGTCTTTGTCCGTCTCAACGCGTTCGCCATCTTTGTACCATTCCACTGTTGGGATTGGACGGCCCTCTGCCTTACAGTTTAGCGTAGCTGGTTCCCCTTTGGACACGATAAGATCAGAGGGGTGCTCTACAATCCGGGGAGGGAAGTCTTCCTGGCGGAGACGAGACCCTAAACGGGGAAAAAGAGAAGAAACTTAGCTGCTAATTATGCATGTTTAAGGAAAGCACAGGACACAAGAGTACAAGAGAGCCGTGATAGTTATTGTGATGTGAAGCATTAATTCATGAACACGTCATCATAAAATTTTTATCTTTCTTTTTAACAACTAGAATCTCATCAGACAACAAAAGCAGAGGTGTGTGAAATCTTTCAGGAAGCAATGTGCTTCAAAACAAAACACAGATGGCTTTCAAAGATAACAATGGCATTTTATATGGTTTTTGAAGAGCTCCAAGGCAGAAATTCTAATAAATCAAAGGCATTATCCGTTACTGTTTTTACTGAAAGACGTGTTTAGTTCTCTTATTTTTGTTTTATTTTTGCATACACAGCACATACAGAGAAAAGGTTAATAATAGCTTTTCTGTTTCACATTTCTATGTAAATGATAAAACTCTAAATGTAGTTGGCTGCACTTTGATTCACCACTTGAGTCCAGCTTCACCACAGCCTCTGAATAAGGAATAGAAGTATGAATCAATACTTCCAACCACACAAACACTAACAACCACAAAATCACCTTTAATCCTTCTTTCACTGCTGAGATGTCAATCAGTTGTGCTCACTCCATGAAACTGTGAAAGGTGGATACCCACTGAGGCTGAGGACAAACAAACCCCATCCCCTCAATAACTGTCAGGTACACAAGCCTGATGTTTCTGCACATCTAGCATTGCATTTCAAGCCCATCTTAACAGGTACACTCTAATATTGCCACTTCTAACCCTATTAGCACAAACAAGCCACCGCTTCCTCTTCCTAGTCTGCATCTTAAGCTAATATTTTTTAGAATTCGCTATAACTATGATAAAAGTGTTACAGTGTGCTTGGGAAAAAATGACATGGCCAAATGATCAACTGATTTCTAGAATAGATCTAAAATCAATGTGTGTCACTCTGGGTGTTTTTTCTTGAAGATGTCTTTTTAGGCCCTAGTGGTGTTTTGTTTTATTATTTTTGAAAGTAGGCAGACAGAAAAAAGTATTAGAGAGAGGGAAGACAAGGATCAACAGGACAGGATTTGAACCTGCAACAGCTGAGGCAAGAAGCAAAGCTTCTCTACATGCTTATCCACTGCACCACTGCCACATCCTGATTGAAATCTTTAAATTTGTCAATACAGTTATGTGAAAATTACAATATCAAGAGTAAAGCATATTATGAGTGCACACTCCTGTGTATTTACTACTTTCAGAAGAAATTTATATAATTCCAACCAATGACTCCCAAATTTGAGACTCTCACTATTGTAATACTAAAGATCTGTGAGAGGAACTTCAGCTTTGAAATTTGTCAAAACTATTATCTTTATCATTATTTTTTATTGTATTTAAGAGGTACAAATAAGGTCAGGACTGGAATCAGACATTCTTTTAATGATTCACCCTGGTTGGCATTTATTAGGAAAAGTATTTAATGAATTATCATAATTAATTTTAAATTTTAATTTTTTATTTACTGAACCAGCAAAATTAATAATAGACAAGATTTTAGTGTTCAATATCTGACTCAAAATTTTAGGACAATGAAGAACCCAACCAATTTTTTTTTTTTTTTTTGCTGTTTCTATAAAAAAAAGAAGAAACAGCAAATTTTGTAAAATTGACTCAACAGCTTTGCGCTTTAAAGAAAACTGGACGAATTAATAATTCAGCAAAAGACTGATAAGATGCATGTGCAGTAAAATTTGTATAGATCTTGAATATGGTCTACCTTTGTTAATATTTCTTTTGCACATATTGGCTCCTTTAAGGGGATGAAAACAGCAGCTGCCACAGCTATCAGCAGGCCATCCGGTATTGTGTCAATGGCCTTGGAAAGCAGATAATCACTACCATGCTCGTGATGAGAACCTCCACTCCCTCTGCAACCAGTAATACCCACACAGGCAGGTGTTTAGCCTCACTGATAACACCTTACAAACTGTGAGAGGGATTTTTTGTGTTTTCAGTCTTTTGTATTTTCACATGTCTTTTAACTCTTTTCTATTTTATACCACTTTTCTAGAACCTTCTATAAGACTTTTGATATTATTTGCAGCCCTCTATTTTAACTCAAAACCCAAAACATGAGGAGCATATAACATAAGTATGTATTTATTTCAAGGGATGCTATTTCTTGCATGTTTTAAAAACCAAAACTGGAATTTTTAATTTTTTCCTTTAACTGATAACTATTTGGGATCTTTTTTGTTCTTAAATGAAACTAAGTGAGGTAAAACAAAAGTTACATTCTAATGAAAACCTTTTCCAAAAATCTTTCTCTGATAAAAACATTCAGTTAAAAAACACATTTCTTTTGGAAACCTTTGAAACCTTATAAACATCACAGGTATGGTATTTTTAGCAATGGCAAAGTAGTAATGAGTAGTGGATCCTCGAGACGGAATTTGAAATAATCTGTATTGCAACAGCTTTAAAAGCCTGTATATTTCAAGTTCATAGAAATGACGCAACATATAATAATCTCAGTTTTATGTCTCAGGTCATGTTCCCCTAACTAGACAGTTTTTGTTGTTGTTTTAGTCTGACTATATCAGCTAGTTGAATATTCCCACAGTTTCCATGGGAAAAAATGCTCATCATCTTAGATTTTGATGGGCACACTTTGTATCTAATACAAAATGCATTTGATGGATACATCACAGTATTTTCATTTTGGGAGTCATTTTATTTGTTTCATTTTCTACACAGAGCCCTCTTTATTATTTATACCAATAGTAAAGATTTAACTGAGCCTTGAGATGAAAATATTTGTCAGAAAGAAATAATAAACCAGAAATTCTACCCTGATTACCTCTCTCTTTAATGGGTGTGATGATGAAGGAGAAGACATTGACTCATGCAAAAGAGGTGGACAGTAACTTTGGAAAACTTGCAGGAAATTTGAACCCATTTCTCAGCACCAAAGTAAAGGACAGTCAATATTACCCACTGAGCTGTGGGGAAGAAGTGTAAATATTTAATATCAGAACAATTTTCCACACTGTCTAGACTGGAAAAGGGGTATCAGAACAATACAAACAAGACAGAGACTGTGGCCTTTGGTCTCTATTTACAGCACACATGCTGCTTTTCTTGTTCTTAATTGTGTTGGACTGGCGCCTGGGGGTCCACGCAAGTCCCTAAGCTCCTTGGCATAACTGAGAGGCAATATCAGTCTGCCACAAGTGGGCCCCCAAAAGACCAGGCTTTATCTGCAAAGGGCCAGCAGCCAGCATGAAATAAGTATGCAAAAACATGCACACAGGTGCACAATGAGGTACATGCATCCAAACCAAAGGCAATTTGTTGCACATTTGCAACAACAAAATGTGTCTGTTTTCAGCTTGATGCACTTCTGTTTTTTTGTGAAAATGTCCTGATAATTTTGACAAAGACAAAGAAAAGAGCTTAGTAAAATCTTTTGTTGCCATTGAGAACCAATTGAAGTATTTTTTGTTTTTAAATGTGCCAATCAAAAAATATCAGCATGTTAAAATGTATCTAAATTGTTTTTTATATAACTGCAAATAATTGATGATTTTTTTAAACCTTACTGCACATTTTTTTTTATTAGTTATTCTATTTTATAGTTTTACATTATATTATATATTTATATAAATTATATTTTATATAAATATTTTTTACTTTAAATGCATGTCACTTTGCTACTATTGCACAGAAATATTCCCATCTGTGGTCAATAAATGAATTTTCTATTCTATTCTGTTCTATGTCATTCTATTCATTCTATCTGTCTGGGTTTATAGACTTATTGGTGTGCAAAGCTCTGACCTTCCCATACTCACTTTAGACACTTTTGACTAGCTTTTAAAAACTATGATATAAGGATTTTAAAAAGAGCACTGAAATAATGATTCCTGTCCTCCCCCTAGCAGGAGCATGATGTCAGAGTATAACAGAGTAGGTTTTGTTCTACTTTAATTTAAAAAAAAGAAAAATCATTAAAGTTCAGTTTAAGCTCTCTTTAGGATTTTATATACCTATTTTGAGCAAATAGGTTAAAGGTATATAGGCTAAAATTTACCACCTTTGCTCTAATCCTTTTTTTTTTTTTTTGCAGTAAAAATCATGCACTCTCTCACTATGAAAGAATCACACTCATATTTTGTGGTAGAAAACACCCTTCCCTTTAAAGGTATTTCATAAATGCCCCTTTCCTCTCTTACTTTAAACACAGTAACAGCATCCAAAAAAAAGACCTTCTATTCCCTGCAAGATCCTACATTTGGTTCATTCACTAATTAACTATCCACAACTAATTACAGCATAAAATGATTCAACTTATAGTTCCTAATTTCACGAGTCAGGGCCGAAAAATTCCAGAGCCAAATTGTATCAACAGCTTATTTCTCAGTGTAATTTTAATTTTAAACCAACAAATACCAAGTGCTTGAGGATATTTGTGAGTTTTACATTTCTTTGTACCATACAAAGTTACATCTAACTTCCAATGATAAACAGACACAGCACAACTGAATAAAATGTCAAGGATAAATCCTAGACATTATTTGGCGCATAGGTGTTCCAATATAAAAGTAAAAGGCAGAACAGAAAGCATGAAAGTATACATTATATGAAGTGGAAGAAGCCAGCTTTAAAATAACAAATCATGACCCCCCACTAGACTGTAATAACACACTGCAGATGTAATTTCCCTCGATCCAGGTGGTCGTGTATGAACCACCCAGGTGTCATTTACAATGTAAAAACATTTCAAATGCATTAAAGACTGTCAATGTGGTGACATGGATTCAAACCAAAGATATGTTCTGAAAAAAAGATAAAAAAAAAAAGATGATTTTACTATCTAATTACCTTCCTTTTTGGAAGACACACATTCTTACTTGGAAATCTTCAGAAATCTCCAATTTATAAAAGCAATTTTTAAAGAATGTGCATAATTGTCTGTTTGTGGTTTATCCAAAAGTAACAGCCACTGAAAAG